TAAAGGACAACGTCACTAAACACGGGCAGCCATTTGTATGTAATCCATGCTGAGATTTACCTGCAGACGATCACCGCTGGAGGCAAACTACCAGAGACGCAACTGCAAACTGCGTCCAGGGCCGATGATCTGCAGGGAAATGGAGCAATTCTTGATACTCATCCAACCGGCCCCATTCACACTTGTGGACGAGTATCATGAATTGGCTTCCACTACAGGAAACCTACAAGGAGAGACTTCTGAATATACTGATCACCTGGACGTCACGCTGATCCAACGCAGGTAACCTGACCAGGGATCCGACTTTCCTGATCCTCAAACTGGTTCCAGGTCAATCTCCGAGCCCCCCGGTCACACCTTCCTGCACTTAAATATTGATGCCGGGTGGGGGCACTATAAGGTTGCCACCTGTTTATTTAAGCGAAACCCGAACACACTCTTGTGACGCATGGACATTTTTGGGGGAGAATGTGTTGCTGCTTATTATGAACGTCACCCATTGATATGTAAATATCACAGTTGAGACTATTTTCAGTGGGGGGCCAGTAGCCCCTATCTTAATTTTGGTTTCCCCTGTCTGCCTGACATCTTGTGTCCGGGTTTCTGCTGCCATGAAACCCGAACACAGCATTCAAAACCCGGACTGTCCGGGTGAATCCTGGACAGGTGGCAACCCTAGGCACGTGTGAGCGTTTTGTGTACAGGGCAGAACATTCATTTCCATTGGTTAGTCCTGCACAGGACAATCACACCAAAGATGTCCCTGGGTCTTCTTTTTCACAGCGCACCATAACGCAAGGTCCCTTGGTACGATGGTTCCGCCAGGGGCGCCGTGGAATTTTGCTGGATAGCAAAGTATTTCACCGGCACACCAAAGTAAAATGTTCAACGAGTGGTCATTTTATTGATGTACACACACCTCGTCATAAAGCAATGTTTTCAGGGCCACTCAGGGACCCTTCATCGGGCACTTTGGTGTACCGGTGATTTACTTTACTATTTGGATTTGAAGTGGCGCCATCCACCATCACTGCAGCACCCACTTAGGAGTGCGGTGGGAATCTCTTTGGAACTTATGGAATTTTACCGATCGGTCAAACTAATATCAGATCAATCACAACAGATCATTTCTGATGGACGGAATTGTCAATCGGTGTGTCTCATCATTCGATGAGGAGTCGCTTGTTCGCGATTGCCGGTATCCGGATCGCTCACAGTGCCATCCATATACCTCTGCTGCATCCCCCACAGTCATCACAGATCAGGCTGCCAATGTACACAGCATGCTGTACTTATATCAGCTTCCAGACCCTAACAAGGCAGATTTAAGCTGTTCAAGACTTTCCCAGGATGCATTGCAACTCATCCCCCTCCTGAGCGCACACCTTCCAGGAGTGCCCCATACCTGTTGCAGCTCTGTACATGTACATCTACCCCAACCCCGCCCCCTCAAAAGTATCTTCTCCCCCTACTCCGGGGTCTACCCCCTTCCTCCATAGACTACACCGATCATACCCCTGCACTCACCCGTCTTCCTGGCCCGGCGTGTGATCGGTGTATGGAGTCCTCCTTCCTTCTCCCCTCCTGCCGATCCTCCTCCTTGGCCGCCTCCCTCCGCCCTCTCCGGCATCCCCCGGCTTCATCCTCGCTGACAGCTCCGCTTCCTCCCCGGCCTGTCACGTGATCGTAAAACGCCGCCCCCATCCCGATGTATGAGAGCTCAGCTTCACCCCCCCCATGGCTGACACTGCTGACCCGGGTGGGGCTGAGCGTCAATACAGAGGAAAAGTGTGAGGGGGAGTAACATAACAACAAGTAAACTTAATGAACTCTGGGGAGACACAATCTGGAGCAGTAGCCCATGACAACCAATCAGCTTCTCTCTTCAGTTTGTTCAGTTAAGCTTTGAACATAAAAGAGAGAAGCTGATTGGTTGCCATGCACAACTGCTCCAGTTTTTGATAAATTCCCACTCAATATGTTTATATTATTTTTTGTAATCTAGGAACATTTTCAATAAACATCTGACTTCCTACTTTTAGGCCTTATTCACACAGGGCTAAGCCAGGCCGTGCGGCGTGGACACCCGGACCCATGTCTCATTTTCAAAGCTTAAAGGAACAAACTGAAAAAGAGAAGCTGATTGGTTGCCATGGGCAACTGCTCCAAATTCTGTCTGCTCCAGTTTTTTATGAATTCCCCTCATTGTATCAACATGAGGAAAAAGCTTTCAGGTGTCACTGATATTCCGGCCTGTGAATAAGAGACTGTGGTTTGCGTTCACACAGGAGCGTGAAGCGTTTGCAGACAATTCTGGAACGCTTTTATTTGTGTGCTTTTTTTTTTCAGGCGTCCGACGTTGGCTACCCCTGCTTTAAAGTATGTCTCTAAGGCTGCGTTCACACGGCAACCAGCAGTAGTAAGCAATGGTTTTCTATTTGTCCTGTTCACTCTATAACACTGGCGGGACGCGCCAGAAAATGCAGACATGATGCACTTCTCCGCAGCGCATCAGAATCATCAGTTTGTGTCTACAGGACAGGAAGGGAGGAGAAATCTCTGGACTGGTGCACAGATGACAGGTTGTAATTCGTATTCCGCCGCACTGAAAAGCTCAAGACAAGAAATCCCAATTATTTCTATAGCTCCCGGTTACACCTGAGCGCAGCATCGCAAGCAAAAAAGAAACGCCTGATGCTGGAAATAGTACATGAGCTTTTTTAGGGGGGGCAGATCAGTGTAAGTTGCGTGTTTTTTTGCGCACGTTGTACACGCGTTTCCCATTTACATCAATATCTCACCCTCTGCTCACAAAAACCTGCGACTTAAAGTACGCACGGACACACGTGTAAAATGTGTGCAAAACGTAGATTAGACAGCTACAATGGCGAATAGGATTCTGTATCACTAGAAGGACGACCTTAAAGTCCATGTAAGTGATTCACATTCACTGTGGTAATGTATAGAGGTGCACTGAAATAGAAATGTAAAAACCGAAACGAAACCAAAATAAAAAAAATTGTCAGGCCGAAACCGATACCGAAAATGTTTTTATTTTAATTTTTTCAAATATTTTATTTGTATTTATTTTTTATAAACTATTTAATTTTTTATATTTATTTTTATTCATTTTTTATTAAATATTTTTATTTTTTACATTACTTTTAGGGACTTCGGGGGAAATATTGGGGGTCTAAACAGACCCCTGATATTTCCCTT